GAATAAATGCGAGAATATATATAGGTTCTGTATCCGTCGATAAAATAAAACGAAAATGGCGAAAAACCCAACTCTACATCGGATAAAATGAAGTATACTACATTGAATAATTGCCAAAATAACTAATTCAATTAAGAACAACATTTCATTGTTGCAGTAAGCTGCCTGGCTTTATGACATTTCAGACAAACTGATTTCCACGTCTGCGGAATTTCCTGGTCAAACACGGTTAATGTTGCGGAGTGGTAATAGTTTATAACACGTGATTTAAAGCTCTGCAATGATAGTTCTGGTTTCCGTAGCTCGTCTGGTAGGCAGTTCCACACACGCGATACTCGTATAAGATAACTGTTCTGGTGACATAGTGTTCTTACTTTAGGAATGTTATATTTTACAAGAGAGTTATTAGAAGAGCGTAGATTTATGGTTGAAGTCAGAGTGTCCACTTCTTCGGGTAGGATATCAGTTTTAACCAAGCCATATTTGCATTTGAAGAGGAACAGGATATCAAGATATTCGTGCCAGTAACAGAGAGGTAGCATATTCAACGCAGCGAGTCTCGTTTTGTATGGCATGTCCGTTTGGAATGGTAAAGACAGTACGAATTTGGTCGCTCTACGTTGTATGCGTTCGAGCTCCATACACATGGTGATAGTCTGTGGACACCACGCTTGTGAGGCATAAGCAAGATGGGATCTCACAAGTGTAAGGTAGAGACAGCGTCGGGTATTTACGTTTTTGACTTTGATAGTCGAACGTTTGAGCATACCAAGTAGGCGGTTGGCTTTCGTAATTTGCTCGTAAATATGAGTGTTCCATCTGAGATCTGAACAAACCGTCACTCCGAGGTCTTTCTGCGAGGAAACATGCTGCAAAGTTTTACCGTTGACAATGTATTCAGCAACAAGAGGATGACGTTTTCTCGTAACGCTCAGAACTTTGCATTTTTCGGCGTTGAATTTGAGCCTCCAAAACTCAGCCCATTTCTCCACGTTTCTCGCTTCAGCTTGAAGGACACAGGCGTCAACCGGTGATTCAATAACTGAGATGCATTTTGTGTCGTCGGCAAACAAGGAAACGTCAACAGCGGATGAGGTTATTGATTCGGGAAGGTCGTTTATGTAGATGAGAAACAGGAGTGGACCGAGTATTGATCCTTGCGGAACGCCGGAGGAAACTGGACGTGTCTCTGAAATCTCACCGTTGACTAGTACACGCTGTTGTCGTCCGGATAAATAACTTTTAAACCACGTTAAAATATTGTCCTTAAGTCCAAATCGTTGGAGTTTCTTTAAAAGATGGCTATGATTCACCGTGTCGAACGCTTTAGCAACATCGAAATACAAGATATCTGTTTGTTTCCCTGAATCCAGGTTTTGACTGATGCGGTGAAGAACGGAAATGAGCTGACCTGTGCAAGACTTTCCTCTCAGAAAACCATGCTGTGCGACGGATATCATGTTCTCTATATGACCAATCAGACGGTTGTAAACACAACGTTTAAAACTTTCGCAACAACGCACATGAGGGAAATTGGTCTGTAATTCTCAACAAAACTCTTGATTCCTTTTTTATGAAGCGGGATGATGTTGGACAGTTTCCATTCTGATGGTAGGGAGGCCTGCTTTAAGGATTTGTTGAAGAGACATGTTAATGATGGTGTGATGGAGTGCGCACATTCTTTTAGTAAGCGGATTGGTATATTATCTGGACCAGATGCTTTACTAGGATCGAGGCAATGAAGAACGTCATATACTTCACTTGGGTCTAAAATAATGTCAGAAATAGTCTCTTCACATACAGGTGTAGTGGGGATTGAAATATCATCACCTTCTGTTAGAAATACTGAGTGGAAGTAGTCATTGAACATTTCTGCAGCTTGTTTTTGACTAGTGGAATCTAAGCGTGGGGAGTCTTCGTTGCCTGTCGCGACGGAAACTTGCTGTAGAATACGGCTGGATTTAGTGGTTGTTTTAAAAAATGACCAGAACAGTTTCGGATTGGATGGTAGAGCTTCGCTTAGGGAACCAAAGAACTTTTCCCGACTTTCTTTGATTAATCTCTTAGATGTACGGCGGAGATTCTTGTATTTTTGTACAAGTGCAGCAGAATTTGTTCCGCGACGGATTTTTCGCCGTAGTGTTTCTTTCTTTTTGATCAAAGATTTTATCTCACCGGTCAACCATGGTGGATTGTACCTTCCTTTTACAATCTTTGTTGGAATACATTCGTCAGCTACAGCAAGGAAAGTGTCTCTCCATAAATTCCAGTTCTCGTTAATGTCGGACATCGATGTGGGATCGCTAAATTCAAATTCAATCGATTCAAAAGTACGGTTCATTTTTTCAAAATCCGCACGGTTGTAATCGTAAACCGATCTTTTGAGCTTGTGGGAAGGTGTTGCTGTACTTTGAAACTCAAAGAGTATGCACTTGTGGTCGGAAAACAAATTGAAATTGGTTGGATCAATTACTTCAATGTTGTTAACGTTGTCTGGAATGTTTGTCATGATAAGATCAAGAACGTTAGTTTCTCTTGTTGGAGCGAAGATCAATTGACTTAAGTAATGGTCAGATAAGGTGTTGTAGAAAAATCTCTCGGATTCACCGGTTGGGATAACCATGCTTTCAGACCACGAGATTCGCGGGAAGTTGAAATCACCAGTCATTATAATTTTATCGTAAGTGTCCATGATGTAGTCTAAGAACTTTTTAAAGGAGAGAAGCCATTTTGACGAGGAGTCAGGAGCTCTGTAGCAGCAGACAACAAGGATTCGCGCATTGTTAGTGGCGCATTCAACGCAGACGATTTCTAGTTTAGTATCTGATTGATTAAAGCATACTTGCTTGGTTTCTGTAAAAGAAGACTCTTTTGTAGCTATTAGTACGCCACCGCCGGTTTTACATTTACGGTCGACACGGAAAACGTTATAATCTTGACGTAAAATTTCTGCATCAAAGTGTTTATCGGACAGCCACGTTTCAGTGAGGAAAACGATGTCTATTTGCTCCGAGTATACAAAATCTTGAAGACTTGAATTATTTGATATCATATCTCCATCAGATGTTCTATGTAAACTAAACAAACTTCGCGTATTCCAGCTCAAACAGCGAAATGTCTTACGTTCAGTCGCGATGGTGTTGCTTCGATTATTTACGACGGATGAACAGTGTTCGAGATGCTCAGATGAAATAACTGGACCAGGATTTAATTCCACATCGTTAGCTAAAAGAATTAACAGCAAAGGCAAAGACGATCTCTGTAACAATAACAGTCCGTGCACAAAACGATGAACCGAGAGCAAAGTTACATGTCTCTTAACACGACGAAGTCGATAGGAATACGGTGTTCCAAGCATTTTCGTTGAGGCATAGAACAAATTAATCTTGGTTTCTTTCGTATTTTTTATTCCACGTACAACCAACCACAGAAAAACAATAACGTAGATGAATTTTGGGAAAATCATTTCTAATAGGATTAGGAATTGTATTAATTTTGTTCTTATTAATTAGCGCGCGCGCTTAATTAAGCGCGCGTGTTGGCGTGTTCGTTTGCACTCGTGAGATTAACCGTCCGTTTAGCTTGCGCGAAGGAAAAGGCAACGAGAAATGTCAGATTCGGTACAAAAATGAGCAAAAATCCACCAATTACTCAATAAATGACCAAGATAATTTGAAAAATACCACAGATTTTCCAAGACGTCGACTTTATCTACCAATTCGTTATATATTTTGTTTACAAATCCAAAGAAGCAATGACAAAATCATATAATTTTACAGAGCAAGGCGGCGCACGGTCGCCTCTGCTGGCGTCACGTCACGTCACGTCAAAAAAAAAAAAAAAAAAAAAATTAATAATGTAAAATTAATATTGTAACTTATACTTCGAAATTGTCGCGGCAAATTTAAATTTTAAGCCGAAACATCAAAGGTCATCAAACACGTGCATTCTCAAAATCCACGAATGAAAAAAGCAAATATTTCCTTTCAAAATTGCCCTATTATACATTAAACATAACAAGATTCTTACCTGGAGATTACTCAATCATCCCTGATGTTTTATTACGCTTATTCACGGTTAATAAAGCTTCATCGGCTCGAAATATCGAGCGAAATATTGTAACTTCGAAATCACGAACTGTTATAAATATATGGCGGGGTGTAAATTCAGTGCTTCCATTTCCACTTTCAAAAAAATAATTTTCTTTCCAAATGCACAAAATTTCCTTATTTTTGACAAAAATTCCTTCGATGAAGATGAATTTTACCTAGTTTAAAGGTAGGTTACAGTCCCTTCTGCGCATGTCTGTGATTGTTTTTGCCTGGGGACTCCACCAGAAGTTGGGCATCTCGGTTTATACTCGGTCCAGTCTCATTTCTGGCAATAACACGCGCGTTGTTTTTTTCGCAAGCGAAGGAGTGAAGCTATAGAAGTTTCCAAAATATACTGAGCTTTTTTGAGCGACAATCCTTCAAATAACGAGTTTTTGAGGCAACATGACGAGTAGGAAAGAATGCCACGCTAGCAGGGATGCTTACAAAGTGTATCAAAGTGTATCTATTTTATTGTTTTCCTCGATGGAGAGCGTGCCATTTCTGTCTGCGTTTCCCCATGAACCTACATCCTCTGATCCTCAAGCTTCTACTAAAGGTTTTCAAGAAAAGAATCCAAGAAGGATTGGACATTTCACCCAACATAGCTGCTATTCACTCCCTTCACTGTGGACACTTCAGTGAAATCGCTTGTTGAAGCCCATCAATCGAGGTTTTAATGACTATAAAATTATCTTTATTCACTATTTTAATTATACACTATAGTTACATACGAACTGTTCTATCTCTTTAATTTACAAACTGAAACCCATATAATTAAAGCCTAAAGATATGATACTCGTGAGTAGGAGTTGTCAATGAAAAAGTGTTAATGAGCAATTTGGAGTCAACATGTTTTGGATGGCTGTTTATATAGTGTTTATTGTCAGAATGATAAATGATATAAATTAATCTACTTGACCGTGCTTTACTGTCTTTGACTGTCTTCTCATGGACAAATTGTGCTCACTTAATAGAAACACATAAAAAGTTTCTCTGATCAAAGTATATTTTAATCAAAGCAGCTTACAGCCCTCGGAAACGAGGTCGGCATTCGGCAATGCCGACCTAAATGCCGACCTATCAACCTCCCAGGCCGGCAAATTTTTGCCGACGTTAATTCAGCAAAACTAAGAATTTTTTTTGTGCTGATAGCTGTTAAAAAGTCAGCGATTATAAAATTTGATTCGTAGTTCGATAACTAAACACACTTTGGTGTAAGGTTTAAAAATTGACTTTTAAAAATTAAATTAAATTAGCTCAGGTAACCGGGCTGGCTCCCCTCCACATAAACACCGCCTAAGACATTTAGTTTATAAAACATTTTGATCACAGAAACTTATATGATGTAAACAAACTCAATTAATAATTACTAGTATATTTTTTCACCCTAATTGTGACTAAAAGCTTGCATATAAGAACCTACAATTTAAGAACCTGTCAGGCTAAAAATTTTTATTTAGACACCCTAAATAAGAATTTTAGGCTAGCAATTCAGGTTTTTATTTTATCACATGAAGACAAATCAAATCTAAAAATGTATATAAATCAAAGAAAATAAACTCTTCACAATGTCAAAGTAATGAAAATTATCCAGAACACTGAAAATGTCATTGAGATAAATAAAGTGTTAGCAGCTTTACAGTATAGCTTTACCGCGGCATAGCTATTAGGTAGATAATTTGTGCGCAATTTATATATATGTATATACAATTAAATTATACCTCGAATACCAAAAATGAGTCGCTTTTCTTTAAGAATTTAACCTAATTTCCAAGCTTTAATGATCATGTATTCACTACATGTATTGTCCAATGTGGGATCTGGGGGTTTGAAATCCGAGCTTTCTTTCTCCTAGATGGATTGCCTCCTACACAAAGCAATCTGAAACACAAGCCACTTCATATTGTACTATGATTGCCTAATCTTGTGTCACAAAGAGTGGCACCATCCCATATATAGGTATATATTGTCAGAACAAGCTGCCATGCCCATGGCCTGTTTTGTGACATGAAATCAGACAACACAGTAAAACCCTAGACTAGACAGTAAAACCCTAAGAACCTAGATTTTTTCCAAGTTAGCCTAAACAGGTTCTTATGTGAATGGTGCTTACCTGAATTCATGTCACAAACTGTAATTATATTTAGTATATTCAATACTTTCAGGGGGGGGGAGCACAAGCCCTTGAGTCATATTCATGCCTATCCCTTGGATATATGTGTTTTAATAATAATTGTTTATAAATTATTTGTATTATCATATAACCCAATAAATCTGTTAAGAAAAAGAAAGACTGATTCGTTTATGTAAATAAAAATTTCATCAGTGTTTCATGAACAGTCTGATGGGCTCTGATATACAGCGAAACAAGCATATATTTAGCAATTGTCCTCTGTCTTGAAGAGATATGATGAACTAACGTGATCACTAGATTGACCAGAATTGTTCAAGTTAATATTGCTATTAGATCATTCAGTGTCACAAGAATATCATCATTTAGTGTCAATATGAGAGTAATATCAAAGAATTCATACTTCCAGTTCATAATTTCAAAACATACATATTTATAACACAACTGAAAAGTTGAATATAATCTTAGCGTCTCGTACTCTCGTCACTGTCAATCTATTGAACTCTTTTGTTGTTTATAACGAAATCATCTCCATAGCGCGCACGAGCTTGAACAAATAAAGCTGTATATCCATCTTTTGCACGGTCAAAAATTTCGCCCTTGGCTTTGCCACGAAGACAGGAACTGCAACCACATTCTCAATCACACTTGTTTCGAATTTCGTCAAGCGAAAAGCTTTACCCAAGGCCAAGCGCTTCTGTCATAATGACAACAACAACACTGGCAACATGTTTCGAGGGATTGATACCGCATTAAATATATTCATGATGAGACACTCCAAAGGTAAACACAAATTATTCGAACTCACACCTTCGGGATTTCGGTTCGCCGCCCCAGCTGTTGATATAGCAAGTCCCACAACGTTCAAAGCGGCCTCTTTATAACTTTATTCACAATGTTTACAGTTAAACAGTTACAGTATAAGATTGTGTTTATATTGTGTACAAAAATTTGCAGTGTAGAAATGTACAAGAAATGAAGCGAAGTATTGTCAAACATTGCACTCCTCGGTCACAAATTATGTGGAATGTTACTTTGAACTCGTCATATACTTCATCTTATATAATTAATGTGGATCAAAACAAAAAACGTAAACAAAGCCCGCGCATGCGCAGAAGGGACTGTAACCTACCTTATAAAAGTGACCAAATAACTCAAAATGTTATAGTGCTTATATAAATATTTAGAAAATTATAATAACCAATGAGCATGACTCAGAATTGTTGTTGAAATAAAAATCTGAACGATGATTGGCTAAGAGCCAATACTATCTGTGTCGTATACATGTACAGTGTCGTAGTTGATCTTTCTCGCTATGTCACTCTGAAGAAAGTGTAATTAGTCCAGTAAGACGTTCTTGCCCCATTGTATACTAAAAGACCGTTCTCTAGAAGCGGATGAAACTGGTATCCTTAGGTCAACACAAATCTGTGGACATATGCCTTGCTCGTAAATCTTGTTACGCAACTGAAGAGATGACAATTTACCAAACAAATTGTCATTTTGCTTTAGTTTATTCACCGAGACGAAGTTTTTCCAAGATTTGGTTAGTTCATTTAGATCATTCGGATATAATTTTGAGAGAGTACGATCTAATAGTGATGGGTCTGAATTCTCTGCCAAGTCCTCTAACCCTGTCATACCGAAGGGTTCTACAGAAAGCAAACCACTGTTTTGTTCAATTGTTCCGACTTGTTTCAAATTTGCATGCATGCGCGTCACTTCACTAATTACTGTGTCTAAAGACACATTAATGATGTTTATTCTGAACATTAATTAACAGCGCTTCGTTGTTTTGTACTTCCCATTCGTTATCCCGGTTTTCATCATACAGTAAAATGCCTTGTGAATCCGTCGTTGTTTTTTTTCTGAAACTGTTCATTAATGCCCAAAGCACCAGCAACAAGCTTTGATTCCTCAAGAATAACATTCCAATTAAGCTTCACGTATGCACTTTAAATCTGACTCGTCCCCAGTCGTCTCTAAAGGTCTTGGAAATAGAGCTCGAGAAATTGCTTGAAAATTTAAAACAAAGGCAAAGCAATCAAAGCTGAATTAATTTGAGAATTGAGATATCGCGATTCGTGAGACACACGCAAATGTAGTAATCACGCGCGGGGAGTGGGAGACACACGCAAATGCGAGCGCGAGGAAAACTGAAAAGGAAAGCTCGCGGGGAAAGACGGGAAGGGAGAAGAGAACCCCCTCGCGCGCGCCCACTCTCTGCACGTGATTTTTATTGCATTTAATAATAGCTTTATTCATCCATCTTAAGATAAAAAAGTACAATGGACTTACAATTACTTGTTTAAGAAAGTATATATGCTGCGGATACGTCTTTATATTACAAATTGTTGTAAGATAATTTAGAAAACTAACTAAGAAGTTAAAACTAATAAATTCTTTAATCTAATAAGTTCTTCTAATAAGTTAAAACTATTTATACATATTTACAAGCTCTACCTGAAAATGAATGTTTATGCCTTTCAGTTCCTGAGAAGAATGATATATTGCGATTCCGGTCAATGTTCCTTAAATTGTACTGATTGTTAATTAATTTTGGCAAAACACTGCGACAGGGATGGTGTGGATCGTTCATAAACCTATCAACTTCTCGACTAGTTGCCTCTTCCCTTCTTTCGTTCAACGGTGGTAGGTAATCTTTTTCCAGGCCAAGGATTCTTAAGCTCCTGGATTGAACCCGCTCTATTTCATCTCGCAGGTAATTAGGGAGTCCCGCCCAGACAGGTGATGCATACTCGAGAATTGGTCTTATTTTGGATTGATAGGTAATAATACCGACTTCAGCTGGTAACTGCGATTTCCTGCATTCTCTAAGATAGTAAAGGCGTTTATTTGCTTTACGTGTAATCTCTTCAACATGTGCGTTCCATTTTAGATTATTTTGGAACGACACGCCAAGTAATTTAAAAGCGTTGACCCTTTCTATTAACTCATTTCCAATACGAAGACGTGGTGGTTCAGGTATAGCGTCCGTGAACGAGATCCACATGTCCTTAGTTTTTTTAGCATTAATTGCCATTTTATTTAACCCCGCCCAGTTATTTACTTCATTGATAGATTGTTGTAAATTACTATTAGAATCTACGCTCACTATTTGGTGTTGTGTGCAGTCATCTGCATACTTATTCGTACTGACTTTTAGTTGTTCTGGTAAGGCGTCCTCCAAATCATCAATGGAGGTATTAAAAAGAATGGGAGATATTACAGAGCCTTGCGGGACTCCGGCCGGGCATGTTACAATGGATGATAAGGTACCATTGAGATTTACTTGTTGAACTCTTCCGGAAAGGAAACTTTTAATCCATAACCAGAAGGGTTTATTTATGTTCATAGCTGCTAATTTGTTCAAAAGAATATTGTGATCCACAAGGTCGAAGGCCTTACGAAAGTCAATGAAGGCCGCATGAACCCCATTTTGCCTGTTTTTGAACAATCAGTGGCATTAAACCAGGTTTGGGTAGTTGATATTAACGCAGAGACTGCGCTTCGATGTTGAGTAAACGCGTGCTGGTTATTCTTAATTTTCAGGTCTTCAATATTTAACTGGAGCTGGATCTTTTCCAGGATCTTGGCAAGATGGGGTAAGACTGATATCTGGCGGAAATCATTGTTAATGTCTCTCGGCGGGTGCACTTTAGGAACAGGAAAAATTAGGGCATGTTTGTAGAGTGATGGATAACAACATTGACTTATACTACAGCACACAATGTCATAAACCACAGGAGCTAGGTCTTCGTGGTATTGTTTGAGCATCCATGCAGGAACCTTATCGATGCCAGTTGCTTTTCTTGGATTAAGATGTTTTAAGACCGCTTTAACTTGGCCAATAGAAGGAAGGGGTGGTTTGTTATTCTTATGTGGGTGGTTCACTTCAGGTATTTCAAAGGCGACATTCGTGTAACGGTCCGACCATGGTTTAGTGAAGGCTTTCTGAAGTTTTTCAGCCAAGTCGGATAAGTCTAGGTTTTCGGGCCTGTGTGGAAATTGGGTGTGGGTTGTGTTTTCGGCATTTACTAAAGAGTAGATACAGTTATACCACTTCGATTGATTCGAGGTACGAAATTCTGAGGCCTTGGACCGATAGTAGGTGGCTTTAGCTTTAGCTATAAGATTTGCCACTTTCTCGCATAGTTGTTTGTATCTTGACTTATCACCACGAGAAAAGGCCTTCTGACGAGCTTTGATTTGCATTTTGAATAGAATGATTTGAATAGAATGATATAATTCAGCATACCAGATCCATGCAATAATATTTTGTCGTGGAAGAAAATCCACTAAACAGAATATTATGTTAGTTTTGTACATTTTGTGCTATAAATAAATCCCATTATGACATATGGTTGTTGGTGATTATAAGACAATATAGTATAGGATAGGTGAAGGGGGATATAAATTGCTTGCCTGGTGTTCTTGGCAATGACATTCAGTTGCAGAAATTAGGGTGGGTGAAGAAGGGAGCACCCCCTCCAGGATATATAGTATAATGCTGCAAGTTGATAATTATGACTGGTTGCAACTGTTACTATAAGTATTTATATTCCAATCTAAAACTGAATCTCTGCTCTTTATGCAGCCACTATTACTTTGGCTTTTCTTTAATGAAAGCAATTATTCAATGCACATACAGCTATAAAGTGCTTTAAGAGAAATGTTTCCAATATGTGTGACTTAGCTTCTGACTCTGCTAAATTTGTATAAAAATAATCCTTCAAAGTCTGTAATAAAAGCAGACACCAATTGTCTATATAGTTATGATCATTGATAAAGAAATTATGTAACCTTACGAAATTATATAGCCTTCTATTGGTTTCATTCAACTAATTTATATTAACTAAAGTCACCAATGAAAATGTTAAATTGAAAGCACATAAACATCAACACTTACAACTCGATATACAGCTACAACGGCAACATGTGGAAGAATCATTACTTTCATAGTTTCATAATATTATTCTCAATGCCATTAGTCAATAATTTTCTTGTCAAAAATTGCGAATCATTTCGTTTCCACTGCGTATTAAATGATGAAATCCTTCAAATGCTTGCCAAAAATGCACTATCGACATTTGCCATATTCAGACTAGTAAAATGACGTTGTAAATTTTAAACTGCGTTTGATGTATAATTTGAATCGTGAATTCACAAATTGCCTTTTGATTTACCCTTCAGTAAACCGCCATTTGGAAATTAGTATCATTACGTCATTTCATCTATACGCTGTCGTTGATTGGCTATGAGCACGCTTACAAACTTCCGGTACGCGCACGATGGCAATATATTTGCTTCGCAGATACAAAAATAAGCGAATGCTAACCCCACCTAGGTTTTTGCTGCCCCCCCCCCAAAAAAAAAAAATCCTGGCTACGTACGCTTCTGCGTAAGGCTCGTATCTAGAAATAGAGTTTATAAAAATATTGCCGATTCTGATATAACCTTACACAGATTACATTATTTACAGCATTGCATTTTTTTTTTCGCGTACTTGATCAAATAGGAACTCCTCTGTGAACATGCCTACGTTGCTCGTCGCAGTTCTTGCGTGTTTGGTTGCCTCGCGTGTTTGGTTGGGTCACTGGCTCGCACTTCACGCAAACCCAACATGATTCATTATTTTGAATAACATAAGGAATTGACAGTTTCGACACCGTATGGTTATGGTCTCTACGTCCCATAAGCCAAAACGTTGTTTTTTCCGCGTAAGAAAGATTTATATTTACGAACTCCAATTCCGACATCCAGTCGCAAAGCTAGCCATGGGAACTGGTCACGCATGCTTATAAACCTGCATCTAATATAGGTTAAAGACAATACATTTATAAATGTTGGAATAATTAATGCAAATCACTATGCATCATATAGCATGATTTGTTGCTTCAAATCCAGATCATGTGAAATATACTCTATGATCAACGTCACCGAGCAATAATTATTACACTGACCTGAAAGGTCAAGTGTCTTAAATCCCTAGTTTTCTGTTTTCTTCTGTTTTTTTTCGTCGTCGAGAAATCGAGTTTGCGTTTGCGCATCGCAGGCTCAGGGTGCAACGATTAATCCAAAATGCCATCGATTCTTCGACTCCACGATTCATATATAATAGTAAGAAGTCTGTATTTATGTACGTAATAGCCGGCTCATGCCATGCTTGTGATGCATTTTTCGTTTATTAGCCCATATGTAGACTTATATGGACTTATACGCACGCGCACAATTCCGAACTCCAATGGTGACATATTCAGTCCAGTTTCAAAATGGCGCCTTTTGGCTGAGTGATCAGAATATATTTCACACAGTTTCGTGGAATTTTCAAAGAGTTGTGCCGGTTTCCTATGGAGTTTACGTTGTGTCGCACTCTGAACTTTCTTGCGTGTTGAATTAATATGTGTTTCTTCGTGTAACGACTCGAAAACCCCAAAATTTGGACCCAGCGAATTTTACAAAGGACAAGTTAAAGGTTTGACAGTTTGACTTTTTAACTAATAAACAACTGTTTATAAATATACGTTGTAGAGTCATAAACATTCGTGATGTAGTTGTGTTCATTTTTTGTCGCACTCTGGACTTTCTTGCGTGTTGAATTAATGTTTTTCTTCTTGTATTAAACGACTCTAAAATTTGGCTTCCAAAATTTGGCCGACCCGGCGGATTTATACAATCAATATGTTGTATTCAACGACTCGAAAACCCCAAAATTTGGACCCGACGCGAATTTGTACAATATAGTGGGATGTAAGCTGGGACAAGTTAAAGGTTCGACAGTTTATTTTGATTTATTGTATGGTTCTCATTTGCCTAATACAATAACATTTAGTTCACAATACAATATAAACAAGGGCAAGTTAAAGGTTTGACCATATTAAAATACATGTATATATTGAAATTCGCGCAATAGCTACTAGAATTCGCGCAAGTAGGCTAAAGATAAAGCGAGCGTTCGATCAAAATACCAAAAAGAACTAAGACATTTATTGTATGGTTCTCATTTGCCTAATAGAATAACATTTAGTTCACAATATAATATAATATAAACCAAATATAAACAAGGAAAAGTTAAAGGTTTGACAGTTTCATTACACAATGTCGACAATATACCTTAATACATGTATTAAAATTCGCGCAGTAGCTACTAGTTAGTGCGCCAAACGCTTTGTGGTAGGTAGGTAAGGTAGGTAAAACTTTATTTAACTACGCTAACCCCTACAGCGGTGGCTGATTTCCAAGGGGGGCGTAGATTTAAATAGTTAAAAAATACAATTGATACAAATTATGGTCATACATTACATTACATTACAGTTAACAACAATTACAATACATTTACAAATACAACTAGTATATAATTATTTACAAATTAATTTAATGTTAGTACTGTTCAATATTTTAAATTAACGTAATTATTTGTTAATTAATTAATTAATTAATTGGCCAGGTGTCGTATACATGAATTAAACGAAGCAAGAGTATGTTTGTTTCTTGCTTCATCAGAAAGGCTGTTCCACAATTTCGCTCCTCTATAACTAAGACTTTTTTTAAGATATTCAGTCTTAGGTTTGGGCAAAAAGAGTTTGGTGGAAGAGCCTCGCATATTATAGTAATAAGAAGAAGAGGTCCTTTGAAAAATATTGGTTAGTCGTTTTGGCGCCAGTTCGTGAGTTATTTTATACATAAGACTTGCTACGAAATGTGTTCTGCGTTCACATAAAGGTTTCCATTTCAGTTCGTCTAGAGCAAGTGTTGCCCGCTCACTAAATTCTCGATCTATCCCATAATTCACGTATTAAAACAGTAGAAAGCACAATTTATTTCGTAAAACAATGCGAACATTAATAACAACGTGGTTGACTAATCGCCATCTTGGAAATCTGTTTGTCTGTCCTTTCTCGTTACTATGGTAACTGTCACAACTGCACGACGCAATAGTTCCTATTTAACTAATGTTACACGACGTATTGCTAATGGGCATCCTACACTCACCCCTCCTATAATTTAAGCTGTCCTTATTATCTTTTATATAGCCCAACATTTAACGCTATAGTCTGTACTCATCTTGGCTACTTCTTGGTCAACTGTGTGAGTTGATCAGACTCACAAATATTGAACGTAGACAGTAATCTAAACTAAGTGTTTCTTTATCTTTTCGGGCCCCGCTTTCACTTCTTGTTGGTCAAGAACTTTTCCTGGAAATTTAACTCTTGTAAAGTTTTATTGTTTCTGTTTTCTAACAGTCATTATTCGCAACATGATGGCAATTTCAACAATTTTCGTTTTCTGATTTCGAAACTCTTGATATCAGTGTCTAACACCATATGTTTGATGGCATAATTGGTCCTTGCCAACTTGACCAATATAATGGAAATACAGGTAATGACATAGGAAGTATTGGGGGAAAGAACGGTATTGGAGGTGTCGGGAGCACAGGGTATTGGTGTAGATACATGTTGTTTGTGGCAGGTGCATGTACCGCGTTAATACTGGTCCAATGTTCCGTTGGTTGGCCCAAATTGCCATATCCCAGTCTGGTTGGTGGTCGTCGTACTCGTTGTGAACTAACTGGGTGTGAATCAACTTGTGTCTCAGCCTCCGCTGCTACCGTGGTACCAGTCGCCGCTTGACTCTCTTCAGCTAGTTCTTCTGGTGTGGCACCTTCTTGTACAGCTTCCTCAACACTCTGCTGGGCTTCATTTTCAACCGACACTGGCACGAATTCATCCTCTGGGTCTGTCCGCGTTAATTCAGGTGCAAACGTAGCAATCTCGAACTCGTCTTCACTATCTGTCAGATAATCTTGTGTGACCTGTTTCTCCTTCTCACTCTTCTTTTTCTTTTTTAACTGAGCTGGTTTCACAATAGGATTCTCCACAGGAAGATACGTACATGGAAATAGCATGTTCCTATGCAGTACTCTTGTCTTCTCCCCGCCACTCTCAGGAATGACTTCATACACGGGAATCTCATTTGATTTCTGACGCACGATTTTGTAAACTTTGTCTTCCCAATACGACCGTAACTTGCCGGGACCACCCCTTTCTTTCACATTTCGTATTAACACACGATCACCGGGTTGTAGACTCGTACTCTTAGCTTTCTTGTCATATTGCACTTTCCCACTCGTAGCGTTCTTTTCTGCCTTTTCAGATGCAAGTTGGTATGCTTCGGACATCGATTCTCGCCATTTCTTGACATATTCAGGATAAGTGCTATGGCCAGGTGGGGGTTTCAGACCATACATAAGGTCAATTGGCAATCGCGGGGGTCTGCCAAAGAGTAGGAGGAATGGGGAGTATCCTGTCGCGTCATTTCTGGTACAATTGAATGCATGTACGACTTTCTGGAGATGATCACGCCAACGACTTTTGTATTTTTCTGGCAAGGACCGAAGCATTGACAAGAGCGTTCTATTAAATCGTTCAACTTGCCCATTACCTTCGGGGTGATAAGGGGTTGTCCGAGAGTGTTTAATTCCGCTTACTTTTTCCAGGTTAAAGAAAAGTTTATTCTCGAACTCAGCACCTTGGTCGTGGTGTATCCTCTCAGGGAAGCCATAGCGCAAGATAAAGTCGTTATAGAGCTTGTCTGCAGCGGTCTTGGCTGATTTGTCACGAGTCGCGTAAGCTTGAGCATACCTCGTAAAGTGGTCCATAACAACCAGGATGTATTGATAGCCTCCTACGCTTGTTTCGAGGTGAAGGTAGTCGATAGAAACCATTTGGAAGGGTGCGGTGGTTACGATTGGATGTAATAGTTCACGTTGGTTTCTTACGGGTTTCCGACTCCTTAAGCAATGACAAACTTTCGTGACGAAGTGAGTTATATCTTGTTTCATGTGAGGCCAAAAAAATCGTTCTCGAGCCAAGTCAATGACGCGTTCAGAACCCAAATGACCCATCTCTTCATGCAACTCTTTATAAACTTGTTGACGTAGACGTCCAGGTAGGACAACTTGACGGACTGTTCCTGCTAGTCGGTACAGAACTCCATCAGTCCCCACTTTTAACTTATTCCATTCTCTTAACAGCTGCTGTACAGTATGGCTTTCCTGCTTTCTTTCATGAGGAGACAAATACGTGTTCGCTATTTTAAGTGTTATGACGCGGTCAATATATGCGTCGTCATTCTGTGCTGTCTTCAAATTTATAGATGCTTGGTTTAAACTAACATCCGCTCGAGTAATCTCAGGAGGAAAGAGCAAAGGTGTTTGAAACTGCTCGACCTGTACTTTTGCTCCACAAACAGTCGCTTGGAAAGCGTCGCGATTAACCTCTTCACTGCATGTTTTCATATAATCGTCAATATTCATAGGCATTCTGGACAATGCATCGGCGTCTCCATTGAGTTTTCCTGGACGATAACGGATGTTGAACTTAAAGTCGGCCAGTTCTCCAATCCATCTTAAGCCTGTGGCATTAAGTCGTGCAGATGTTAAAACGTATGTTAATGGATTGTTATCGGTATAAACCGTAAATTCAGGCGCGTAATATAAATAATCACGGAAGTGGTCGGTGATTGCCCATTTGAGTGCCAGAAATTCTAATTTTCCTGCATGGAGGTGATAGTTCTTTTCTGCATTCGTCACACTCCGAGAGGCGTACGCAATGACTCGCATTGTCTCTTCCTGTTCCTGGTATAAGACAGCACCTAGACCGTCTTTCGAGGCATCAGTGTGCACGATGTAGGGTTTTTGATAATCTGGATATGCCATAACCGGAGGTGTTATCAGATGGTCAATGAGTTTCTCAAACACAGTCTGATGTATCTCAGCCCACGCGATTTTGAATGATGATGGCACTTGACCTTTCTTTCTGTTGTTTTTGTTACCTTTCTCTTGATCATGACACGGGTCTGTTGTTGCTGCTTGTGTAACAAGGTCGTATAATGGTTTAGCCTTTCGCGCGAAATTGGGTACATAACGACGATAGTAACTGAGTAATCCAAGCATTTTCCGAAGATCTCCTATTGTATGAGGAGTACCGTTCTTTAGACTCGCAACTGCGTTAATGTTCTCGGGATCCATTTTGTATCCATCTTTCGACACTATTCGACCGAGGAATGTGACTTCACGTTTGAACAATTTACATTTTCTTTGCTTTAATTTGACACCGTGTTCTCTTAGGCGACGTAAAACTGTTCGTAAGTGTTCGACATGTTCGTCGAATGTTCTACTAAATACAATCACATCATCCAAATAAGGAATGGTAATTTCATCACGTAATGCTCCTAAACACTGTTCCATGAACCTCCGAAAACTTGCTGGGGCGTTCATAAGACCGATTGGAATTCTTACCCATTCATATAACCCCCAGGGTGTCACAAATGCTGTTAACGGTCGGCAGGATGGTTTCTCAAATCCTTGATGATACGCCTTACCCTGATCCAATACACTAAACCAAGCGTTACCACCTAAACTATCGAGAGTTTCTTGGACGCGCGGAATAGGATGCCTATCTGGCACTGTCTTACGGTTAAGTTCTCTATAATCGACACAAAGTCGCAGAGTTCCATCCTTTTTGCGAATACATACTACTGGGGATGAATAAGCTGATTTTGACTCTCTTATAAACTCGTTATTTAACAAATCTTCAATGTACTGTTTTACTTCGGGGTAGAGAGGTCTTGGTACCGATACATAGTTCTTTTGCACTGGTTCGTTTGTTGTCAAATTTATTTCTAGTTCTAGATCTTTGATATAACCGATATCCTCATCATTTCTTGCAAAAGAGTGACATTCGTCCTTCAACATGTTAGTAACTACTTGACGTTGACGTTCTGTTAATCCACTAAGGTCAACTTCAGGTAAAAATTGGTCATCATTTGTATTGTCTCTTTCTCGAGTTTCTTTCGCCATTGCATTCACTTGGGATTGTGTGGCTGTTACTGTTCGTTCTTTCTCTTTGCTTGACTTTTCTGCCAACTTCACGTCTACACGTGTAATCGATTTAATTAACTGAAGACTTCCTAATACTGTGTGTTTATGCACGACAATGTCATGATTAGTTGTATTAGTCACATCTATCTTTACTTGAGACGTTGAGCCTTGTTTCACTGTTGTTACCGTTTCGTGCACCGATAAACCGTCTGGCCAGGGCGTTAATTCGTCCGGTTCAAACAATACAAGTGTAGTTTCTTCTACCTGTCCAGTATTCGCTCGACAGTTAACCTTAAATGTTTTCTTTGCCGGAATAACAAAATCTTTCTTTGGGCTCTTAATCGTGCACAGTTCATTTGCTCTTGCTGTCTGTATCAGTCTAACCAATTCGAGTAACACTTTCTCATCAAAACCTTGAAAACTAGATTGTACTGTAGCAATATGTGCTGACTGAATATCAGATGTATTCATCGGCTTGATTAGTTCTTCAATAACATTGTATCCAAGAATGGGATATACTAAACTGTCGTTTGTTACTAAGAAAGGAACCATAATCTTTTTCTTTTGATGAAATCAATCTAACTTCTATCTCAGTCCAACCACTATACGCAATTTGTGTGCCATTAACTGCTGTTAAATCCAATTCACCATTAATAAGTTCTGAAATGTTCTTTATAACATTTTTAGGAAAGTGTTTTTCCATCATTTCTTTGGACACGATAGATACTTGTGCACCCGTATCCCATAATACTGTTGACTCAAATTCATTTAGAAAACACTTTACAGTGCACCGTCTTCCTACTAGCTTAGCAATCTTTGCATGCTCACTAGGAGTTAGGTGACTGGTAAATGTCTTATTATTGCTGCGTGTTTTGTTTTGACATGTCCATGTCAGGTCCCGAAGAGTTTTACAATTGTTCCTATGATCATTTCAGTGTCTTTTCTGGCAATTTCTTGAACAATAAACTATACATTTGCATTGTGCACAACAATACAATGTCATTTGATCATCGTCCTTGCCACAATAACTACATCTTTGGGACCGCAAACTTCTTTCGGCTACTTCTGGCCCCGGAGAGGCAGCCTCCTGGAGTTTAAAGTATTCTTTCCACGATTCTGTCGACATCCAATTGCAAAATGATTGTCACTTCCACAAATGAAACAATGAGAGCATTTGTCATTTCCACTAGTTCGGCATATTTCTTCTCTGGTTTCTAGTGTCTACTGGCCCAGGCGAATCTGGTAATCGAGCTTGTTCAGTTTCTTGGTTGATATCCTTCAACTGACTCTTAACTTGTGCCACTTCAACTTTCAGTGCTTCCAGAGTCTTTAGAATGTTATCTTGGGACTCAGCTTTCTCTGCTACCTGGGAAACCTAGGCAGGCTTTGGGCGGTTCTGGTTTCTTAGTTTTCTTACCCGTTCATTCTCTGTCGACACTGCATTATTTACTTGCAAAATAAGCTCCTCATCTGAAATTGTGGGGTTTCTGAGGTACCCCCTAACCCTTACTCTAACATTTTCGTCTTGAAGGCCAGTTTCAACAGTACGTAGAAACAGCTTTTGAATATGATCATTTTCATAAACCAAAGTGTCCTCACTTTGATCTTGAGTGCTTGAAAACAGGATTTTCTGGCGTAAATCCAAGGCACGCATAAGGAATTCTTGTGGTGTTTCCTTTGACCCTTGACATATTGATGCAAGACTTTGATATAGCTCAGTTGCACTTTTTACATCATAATGGTTTCGAAGAATTTTTCGTAACCGCTCTAGAGATAGATCCTTGTAAGTTTCTACATAACTTCGAAGAACCATTCCACCATTAATTGCACGAATAACACCGCCCACAATTTCCTGTTCTGCGTACCCCTGTTTAACCCCAGTGTCAATTTGTCTTGTCAGGGATGTGAAACTCAACTTGTCTTTTTCATTTGGCTGCCCAATTTGTCCTACAATCTTAAATTGTCGACGAAATACACTTGTAGATTCTAACATACCTTGTAATGTGCTTTGACTTTGTCCTGCGTTTTGTTTTACAGGGGGTACTGATTCTGAAACATCTTTTTCTTTTGGTTCTGCGCTCTTAAAGTAACGTGAGCGAAATTCTGTCAAGAATAACATTCGCTGTTCCTCGTTTTTGTCCATCAATTCTTTATCAATATGGTTAAAAATCATGCAAACAATTGTACTTTTCCTTTGTTCGGAAATATCAAGTTCAAAATCCTTTGCCATAGCCTGGAGCGTTTCTCTGGGTGCTTGGCAAACCGTTGTTTGCATCTCTACTTGTAGTTCTTCAGCCATAATTGCCAAAAGCAAATAACCAAAAGCAAAGATCAAAATACGAAAATCAAGAATTTAGAAAAGCGTAAAAATCATACTTTTTCCTTCGCATTCACAGCTTCTTTTATGTATAAAAGTCTCGGTGGGACCTCCAATTTGTTGCCCGCTCACTAAATTCTCGATCTATTCCATAATTCAAGTATTAAAACAGTAGAAAGCACAATTTATTTCGTAAAACAATGTGAACATTAATAACAACGTGGTTGACTAATCGCCATCTTGAAAATCTGTTTGTCTGTCCTTTCTCGTTACTATGGTAACTGTCACAACTGCATGATGCAATAGTTCCTATTTACCTAATGTTACACGACGTATTGCTAGTGGGCATCCTGCACTGGCATAACTCTTAGTCCATGAGTCCGACAACCACATTGCACGGCAAATATAGGACGAGTGAATCTTGTCTGTACTCTCGGTATTTTTTAGTTTACGTTTACAGCATAATTTGAAAACAAAACTTTTTAAAACACTATAGTTCTATGAATAAAATTATATTGCCAAATAATTAACGTGTTTTTGAACAGACCAATGGGATTGTGGAATTGAATAGCCGATGACATTCAGCCGTGGAGGCAAAATGCCCTGGGGAAGAGGTTGACATGAAATCTACAGAACATTCTATGTACTAGATAAAACATGAGCAGCCAATCTTCATCTGATATAAAAACCCGAGCCGAAGGCGAGAGTTTGTATATCAGATAAAGATCGAATGCGAATATTGTTTTATCGGCGTGCTTATTAAACGACCCATCTTATGAGTTCATTGGCGAAGTAATTTTAAACATAAACATTGTCTAAGCCGAGAAAATCAAAGCTGGAGTTTATGTAAATCAGGACAAATCTTTATGCGATTTACAAACATTGATTAAACATTCATTTTATTTGAATTTTCTTCATTAATTATTAATGAGGTTTATGATATTCAAACTCTTTTAAGGCCATTGGTTTCTTTGTGTTTTCTTCATGAATTAATTATTAATGAAATCACAACATTTTAAAATTTAGTTTCCAGATACTGTTGCAAGATGGGATATAACAACCATAAAGTGTGTCAATCAAATTGTCTACGCGAATCTTGCTTTTCCGACACGGATTGTGGAGGACCAGGCGAGTGTTGCCGTGGTAACAAGTGCACAAAAACTGGCTGTGATGAGTGTCAGAAAAACTTCGACTGCAGTGGGCTTTTTTCAAAGTATTGTTGTAGGAAAAGATACTCAAATGAGCAAAACACTTGTAGTTCAACGTGCATTGAGAAATCATGTCAAACAGATAGCGATTGTGGGCCGCGAGACGAATGCTGCGGTACAAATAATAAGTGCACAAAAACTGGCTGTGATGAGTGTCAGAAAAACTCCGACTGCAGTGGGCTTTTTTCAAAGTATTGTTGTAGGAAGAGATACCTAAATGAGCAAAACACTTGTAGTTCAATCATGTCAAACAGATAGCGACTGTGGACCACGAGACGAATGCTGCGGTACAAATAAGAAGTGCACGAAAATAAATTGCGTCAAGACTGTGCACGTGGCTACTCATAGTGGTAAGTTAACATACCATAAAGCATTTCATTATACTCATGGTCGTATACATAACCCTGAAAGGAAAATCGTTAAGTTACCGTATTTAATAATTTCTCCATCCACAATCACATACATTTACATTTTCATATGATGAGCCATGACGAGCGGACGTGCTTGTTGCTGCTCCCAAATTTTTGGGCTTTTAATACTGTTGGTTATCTGTATTTTACAAAATGTTGAATACAGCGACTACTGTAACCTTATTGACCATCCTGGCTTGGTTAACATATCATTTCATCAAACGGGAAAGCAATTATGGAACTCTAAGTTACTGCCATATAATCAAAATCGCGTGTTTACTACAACCAAGGTCAAAAGATCGAAAGGTACCATAGTTTATTACAGGAATTCAACTTCAACTTTTAGACCGATCCTGCAGCTTCTCCATGACATCGAGCTTAATCCAGGACCTAACAATTATTCGACTAGCGATTCAAGAACGACTAAGAATAATGTAAAGATTGCACATCTCAATGTACGCTCATTAAAATGCAGAGAACATTATGTGCTTGTAAAAGAAACCATCCTCGCTAATAAGTTCGATATATTTACAATATCAGAAACATGGCTTGATAATTCTGTTACAGACGTTGAACTCGAAGTCCCTGGCTACAAACTTTACCGAGTGGATCGAGAAAACAAAAAAGGCGGTGGTATATGTGTATATGTATTGCAAAACTACGAAAGTGTGTTACTAAGCGAAATCTCGTATATATCTCCCACGGGACTCCATCAACTTTGGCTAAGAATTCAGATTAGGAACTTAAAATCCATTGTGGTTTGCACGGTGTATAGACCTCCTGATGCCTCCGTGTCTTGTCTAGACTCAGATCTAATTACAAGTTACATCTCAGCTTTAACGCTTTCCCATCCAATATACATACTGGGGGACCTAAACTGCAATCTTTTGAAAACTGACAACCGTGACGCCAAAGCTCTTAATACGTTCTGCCATTCTTACAATTTAACTCAACTTATCAACTCACCAACCCGAGTTACTGAAGGTTCCAAATCGCTATTAGACGTGATTATTGTTTCTGAGACAAAACAAGTCCAAAAAGCAGGAGTTATGGAAAGTTCAATCAGTGACCATGATTTAGTTTACGTTGCACTTCGCCTCAAAAAGGCACGCACAAAACCTGTTTTTATTACAACAAGGAGTTTTAAACACTTCAACTCCCAAGCATTCAACAATGATGTGGCCCTAGCGCCATGGTCTATAGTAGATGCTTTTGACGATGTTGAGGACAAATTACAAGCTTTCAACTCATTGTTTATAGATATACTTGATAAACACGCACCGATAAAAACGTTTAAAATCAGAGGTCGACCTAACCCATGTGTAACTGAGAACATTCGGGAACTGATGAAGACTAGAGACAGTGGAGAAAGAGAGCTAAGGAAACGAACGACCCTGAAGCTTGGATTGAGTATAAAAACCTGAAACACAAAGTAAGATCTGAAATCAGACTGGCTGAGCGTGAATTTATAAAGGATCAAATTAACAAGAATCCAAATAACACCAACAACATCTGGAAAGCTATTCGCCTTTGTATCCCTAACAAGTCATCCTCTCAAACGATCTTTAGTAAAGATGACAAAACTGTAGCGAATGATTTCAACCAGTTTTTTGTTTCTGTTGGTCAAAACACAGTTGAGGACATTAAATTGCTGGCAAACGAATGTGGTTATCGACGCGATGTGTCCTTTATTCCGAGACAATACCCATTGTCAGAACAGTTTTCATTTAGAACTACTGACAGTGAAGAAATTAGTCAAATTATAAGCTCAATGTCTTCCAATAAAGCCCCAGGAATTGATCAAATTCCCATTCGCGTAATAAAAGACTGTCTGACATCTATACTGCCTACACTTACATCTATTGTTAATTCCTCACTAGTTACTTCTACCTTTCCCACTGTTTGGAAAATAGCAGAAGTAACACCCATTCCTAAAGATGGAGATCATGAACAAGCGATCAATAATAGACCTATTTCATTATTACCTGTATTGTCGAAAGTCTGCGAACGAGCTGCCTATAATCAGCTTTCTTCCTATTTATTAGAAAAGGAAAGATTAACGCAACACCAGAGTGGAAATAAGAAATGGCACTCCACCGAAACTTCTGTTATTCAAACTACAGATGCCATCCTCAATGCCATAGACAAAAAGAAGCTTACTGCTACAGTCTTTTTGGACATGAGCAAGGCGTTCGACAGCATTGATCATGAATTATTAATATCTAAATTGGAAGATGTTGGAGTCTCCAATATGACACTTCTTTGGTTTCGCAGTTATCTTTCAAACAGAAAACAAGTTGTAAAGATCCACTCAACTAAATCAGAACTTCTTCCTGTGGTCAGTGGTGTACCCCAGGGAAGCATTCTCGGCCCTCTTTTGTTTAGCATATATGTTAATGACTTGCCATCCGTTCCAGAGAAATGTAAATCTAACAGTTATGTGGACGACACAAAACTTAGCGTTTCCTTCCATCTACAAAACAAGCAAGGTGCCATTGAAGATATGAATGAGGATCTTTTGAAAGTGCGAAACTGGTGTTTCAACAACCTTCTCTTATTAAATCCAAAAAAGACAAAGCTCATGGTTTTCGGAAGTAGACACAAATTAGCGGACCTAAATGAGTTTAGCCTATCCCTACTTGGGAAAAATATATTCCCTTCCGAAACAGTGAAAGATCTAGGAGTTACTCTTGACCCTCTCCTTTCTTATGACGAACACATAACTAAGACGATCTCTTCGTGTATGTCCCGCCTCGGTCAGATAAATCGTGTTAAGCATGTACTGGACAGGCAAACACTTATCACTGTAATAAACGCTCTTGTCTTCAGCAAGTTATTTTACTGTTCGAATGTTTGGGCCAATACAACTGGCAAAAACATAAACAAATTACAATCTGTACAGAACTTTGCCTGTCGTATCGTTAGCGGAGCACGAAAGTATGATCATGTTACACCACTTTTAAAAGAATTAAGATGGCTTCCTGTGGCAACTCAGTTGTACTATCGTAGCGCCACTATGGCTTTTAAGTGCATGACGGGCTGTGTCCCAGCTTATATTTCATCCCAATTTATAAAGCGTCAGGAAGTATCTAACCATTATACTAGGAATTCACAACAACTTAATATTCCGTTATTTAAAACGGCAACAGGTCAACGGACATTTTATTACAAGATTGTTAGTCTATGGAATTCTTTAGACTCTTCTTTAAAACTTTGTGAATCAGTTGATTCTTTTAAACGTCGTTTGAAGACGAAGTTATTGCATGAGTTTTTGAGCAACTAGGTTCTTACGCATATAGCATAGGCTTGTAATTGTATTATTAATATTATATAGTTATTATAAATTAGTTATTCTGCATGTAATTAGGTAATTGTCTTTGAAAATGTAGTTCTCAAAATGCCAAATAAATTTGTTATTCTGCTAGGAAAATGTGCCACTCGCGCCACCATGCCCTTGAGCATGGGGTGAAAGGAGGGGGGGGGGACCCAACCAGTTTTTATTAACCTCATGTTTTGGGGGCAAACCAAATAACTTGTGTTGAATGGTTTCAATTCGTAAATGAGTGTGAAAACGCAAAATATTGTAAAGCAATAGATTGTGTTAAATGGTTACTTTTAAATTAAAATAAAACATACACCCTTTTCATAAATGGCTGCCGATTAAAAATTTTTTTATTTGCATATAAATTGGCCCAACTAGCCTCGTGCTCATGTTAAGATTTCAAAGGAATTTCTACCCAGAAACGAGGCTAGTTGGGCCAATTTATATGCACATAAAAGATTTTTTAATCGGCAGCCATTTCTGAAAAGGGTGTATAGCCTGACGCTTTTTCTAGTTCATCAGCTATACGCTTGATAAAGTTTCGCATCTATTTATGTAGCTATATACGACCTGTACCAATGCTCTACCCAGAAATAAATTATAACGAAGCTTATCTAGTGTAATTGTTACAAACTATCTAAATTACTATACCAAGCACTTAAATCAAATGATGTTATGCAATCTACAGTAGGGCCTACCTAAAAACAAAGACGAACATTCTCGAGCTTAAAAATAATATTTTATAATAAATTTCATAATTATAGCTATATATATATATATATATATATATATATATATATATATATATATATATATATATATATATATATATATATATATATATATATATATATATATATATATATATATATATATATATATATATATATATATATATTAAATTATAATTTTAAAATAATAGCTCAAAACAAATTATTACAATCCGGAGAACACTGTATAATTTTGCAAAAATTATAATTTAATAAAATGCCTGGATTACAAATCTTCAAATCTATTAAATATATATATATATATATATATATATATATATATATATATATATATATATATATATATATATATTTACATCCTTGTTCTTCCCGTAAGCCGTGCATGCAATTTAATTATATGATATATATATCAATATTAGAGAACAGAGAGTTGATGTGTAGCCAATTTATCTTCAAAATTTTTTAAAGATGTTTCTGTTTTAAGACCATTTGGCAAGGTGTTCCAAAGCTTGGCGCCAGAAAAAGCAAAGCTTTGTTGATACAATTCTGTTTTGACTGATGGCAGTGACAGATTTAAATTCGCATTATACGTAGCCCAAAGGATTGAGCTCCGTCGTTATAGTTAAATAACTCTTTCAAATAAGTTGGAGCATCATTATTCAAGATTTTAAACAACATGGACATTTTAAACCGTTTTCTTCTCTCATCTAGAGTCGGCAACCCAAAATTTTTCGAGCAGGGCAACAGACCTAACAGAATAATCGGCCCGACTAATAATACGAAGAGTCGCAATAATACATAGAGTCCCAAACAATGCAACAGTAATCAATTGAAAGTGTGGTTCAATGATGGAATGGTATATAGCAATGAGTTGTTTTTCTGTCAAAAAATTCCTAGTTCTACGTAATAAACCCATGCCAATTGAGACCTTTTTAATAACATTGTCAACATGTTTTTTCCACGTCAAATTTTCATCAATTGTAACTCCGAAGCATTTTACATGTCTTAGCCTACTTTACAAAGTGAAATACCTCCAATAGAAAGTGCAACATCGTCGATCAATGAAGCAATCCTTTGCCGAGTTCCTATAATCATATTTTCAGTTTTTAAGGCGTTTAGAGTTAATTTATTAGCTTTAAGCCATAATTCAAGTTTTCTTAAATCACGTTCCATTTGACGCTGAAGTTCAACAGGAATACATGCAGAAAAGAACAAATTTGTATCATCAGCATACATTCGTGCAGTGCCGTGATCAAAGCAAGATGCCAAATCGTTGATGTATATGAGAAAGAGTAGAGGTCCAAGTACAGAGCCTTGGGGAACACCACAAGTAATTTTAATCTCATCTGACAAACACCCATTGACAAAGCATCTTTGGTACCTGTCACTCAGATAGGATCGAAACCAATCAACCGCTATTTTTTCCAATCCTAAATATTCTAATTTGGTCACAAGAATAAGATGATCAACGGTGTCAAAAGCTTTCTTTAATTCTAAGAAGACGACACCGTTTAACATCCCTCGGTCAATGTTAAAGCACCAGTCATTATTCATATCTAATAGTGCAGTCATTGTTGAGTGAAGCGATCTAAATCCCGATTGCCGAGAACAATTAAGTTATTATGTATAAGGTATGCATACAGCTGGTCATAAATAAGTCTTTCAAACACTGTATAGCAATACTAGTTAGGACAGATATAGGTCTATAATTGTCAGAAATATCTTTCACAACTCTTAAAAATTGGATAAATCTTGGCCTTTTTCAATTCAGCTGGGAAAAGGCCTACCTTAATTGATAAATTAAAAAGACTGCCTAGCAAGGTGCAAGTAAATAAACGGCGCGGCGACCTTCAATAATCTATTCGGGATATTGTCTAAACCACATGCTTTTGTAGTTTTTAAATTCTTTAGTAATTTCAAAACATTGTCTGAGTCTACATCATGTAATATTCTGAATGTTTCTTCCGATTGTTTTAGAAACATTTCAGGACGAACGTTGTAATTTTGTGTTCCTACAGACGAAAGCTTGACGCCAATTTCAGAGAAATGTTGATTCAAATGATTAGCTATATCTTCACCACTGGTAATAATCTCATTCGGGGAAACCTTAATTTCGTTTATTTCTGTATTCTTCGTAGGTTTACCAACTAGACTATTCAGAACAGCCCAAGTACGTTTGGAATCCCCAGAGCTTTCGCTTAACTTTGTTTGATTATACTGGCGCTTTATTTCCTTAATTCATAGTTAGTTCTGTTACGAGCTAGCTGTCTTATAATTCATCCAATCAGCTTGACTATTAGACCGAGCAACACGCTTTTTGAACATATCTCTTTCATACATCAACTTTTTGGCAGTTGCATCTATCCAGGGCGCTGGCTTATTGCGGGTCCTAATAATTCTTTTAGGTGCATGACTTTCAATAATAGAAATAAATAATTCATTCTAAGTGCACCAAGCTTGATCCACATCATTGAACTTGTCAATATCAGGCCAATCGGCATCAGACAGATCATTTTTAAATTTAAACTCATCAATTTTTTATAATTACGCGTCAAAATAACCTTAGGTCTACTTCTTAGGTCTACCTACCTTCCGAGCTGAATAAATTAAATAATGATCACTAATAGACAAAGGATAGACGCCTGAATGAACAATACTATCTGTGTTGTTTGTTAGAAATAAATCAATTAAGGATGAATGTTTCATTAGTAATTCGCGTGGGCTCATCAATTAATTGAGACAATTGAAATGTTTGTAAAATATTTTCGAGGCGGGTAGTATGACATTCAGGTTGTTTGTTATGAAAATTACAATTTAAATCCCCAATTACATAAATATCATCAAATTCATTGTCAACATGCACATGTAAGGAAATCTTCAAAAATGTCAAAACATTCAATTGCAGAATTAGGAGGTCGATACCACGCGGTAACGAGAAAGGCCTTAGAGTTTGGCTTTTTAATACTCAATGCTATCATTTCAAGTTCGAGCTTTTCTAAATCTGTGCGATGTTTGAATTCTATTGATTTACGAATAAAAACACAAACACCGCCACCATTGCGATTTCGATCTCGGCGTATTAAGTTATAACCATTTATATTTATATGAAAGTCAGGAATTGACATATCAAGTCGAGACTCATTAATTGCCAAAATATCTAATGGTTCATTGGTCATCAGAACTTTTAATTCATCCAAATGTTTAGTCAAACTTGCAATATTTAATGAACCCATTTTGAAGCCACGAATTTGGCTCAAAGTATTTTGCAAGGGAATTAGGTTAGCACTTTGATCAAACTCTCTGCTGTCTATGCACTCAAAAACTATTAAGTGCTAATTTAAAATTACTTGCTAACATATATATATATACATACATATATATATATATATATATATATATATATATATATGTATTTGTTTGAAGTTTAATAAATTTTGTTTCCAACTTGAATATATATATATATATATATATATATATATATATATATATATATATATATATATATATATATATATATATATATATATATATATATATAGTACAATCTGCAGACATGCATGTTTCGGCGTTCAACGCATCGTCAGTGCAGCTTGGTACACGTCTAGATTAACTTGCTCTCACCTAAGGAGACTTTAACTTGCTCTCACCAAAGCATGTGGTACAACACGGTGACTCAATGCATCCAGACATGCGCAGAGCGTAATGGGGCCAGAGTGCTCAAACGACCACAAGGGAAGTGAGCTTTGCATTATCGCTAATAGACACCCATTAACAACTCCGCAGAGTGCTCAACAACACCGAAGTGAAGGAGCGTAATAGTACAATCTCCAGACATGCATGTTTCGGCGTTCAACGCCTCGTTGAATATATATATATATATATATATATATATATATATATATATATATATATATATATATATATATATATATATATATATATATATATATATATACAGTTTAAATAGTTGAAATTAAGTGTACACATGTAATCTGAAGAAGGGGCTTGCCCCGAAACGTAATAAAAAGTTGTTATATGAGCTCTGATGCATCATTGATTGATTTATATATATATATATATATATATATATATATATATATATATATATATATATATATATATATATATATATATATATATATATATATATATATACCACAGGTTTCTCTGGCGCGACTTTGATTCAAGAAAAGATCCAGATCACTATGAGTTTAAAAGACTCCTGTTTGGTAACAGGGCTTCCCCATTCTGTGCACAACACGTTGTGCACACCCACGCGAAAGTTCACGCTGCAGATTACCCTTATGCTGCAGAAACTGTTGACAATTCTATGTATGTGGCCGATGCGTTAGACTCATTTGAGACGGTAGACGAGGCTATACAACTACGACATGAGCTGTCAGAGTTGAGAAAATGGTCATCCAATGATTCCACCGTCCTGAACGACATTCCGACAGAAGACCGTCTGCAGAGCTTTGAGATCCATGACACAGAGGAGTCCCCCAAGACAAAGACTCTCGGTATACTGTGGGAATCAACGAGCGATGTTTTTACTTTCCGGGTCCAACCACCCAATGTGGATATGAAGTTGACAAAAAGAAACGTTCTCAGCACTATAGCGACTATCTTTGACCCACTGCAGTTCTTAGCCCCCTTCACCTTACGTGCTAAGATTTTGATGCAGGAAATCTGGATAGCTGGAATCGGTTGGGACGATCTCCTTACAGACGGATTGATTTTCAAGTGGAGAAAATGGGTCTCGGAACTACATGAATTATCGCAGGTCACTATTCCTCGAAGTCTTCGTCTACCCAGTTCTTCCCAAATTCGATTACACGTATTTTCAGATGCATCAAAAGAAGCTTATGCTACGGTAGCCTACTTAGTTTGTCGATATTCTGACGAGAGCACGACCTCGAGAATTGTTGCGTCAAAAAGTAGAGTGACACCAACAAAAGCAGTGACGATACCACGGCTAGAGCTCATGGGTGCAGTTCTTTCCACTCGACTGGCAAAGAACATTAGCAAGACCTTAGAAGTTGGAGAACCTATATTCTGGACTGACTCGACAAACGTGTTGTACTGGATACGAAACCAAAGTCGTGATTTCAAGCCGTTTGTAGCCAACCGAATCGGTGAAATTAACAGATCCACTAACCCACAGCAGTGGAGACATATACCTGGAGAGTCGAATCCAGCAGACCTGCCAACAAGAGGATTGTCAGCCACTGCAGACCTAGCAAACAACAAATTGTGGAAGAAGGGACCAGAAATTCTACAACAAGACGAGTCAACATGGCCCCCTCAAATCCCCAACGAAGAAGTTCAGAGAAATATTGTCGAAGGCGAAAGACGAAAGGTTAACGTTACTCTCACAACAAGGGACAGTTCAAACCAAAGTCTCATTGATCCAAATCGTTTCTCGAGCTTTCAAAGATTAGTGCGCGTCACCGGATGGGTTCGATATTTCCTGAGTAATTGCAAACAGCCTAACGAAAACCGAGAAAAAAGTCGGACGCTCCGAGCACAAGAATTACAGCAAGCAGAGACATATTGGCTTAAACGAACACAGAGCGAGGCGTTTCCCGAAGGTGTAAAAGAAAAGTACGTGTTTAATTCAATTAAATCCAAAGAAAGACGAGAATGGTTTATTACGATCTGACGGCCGATTACGCAACGCCACTGACGTACCATATGGTGTTAGACACCCCCATTTTATTACCCAAAGATTATACTGTGACACGTCTGATAATTATAAGTGCACACGAAAATCTCGGACACGGTTCTGGTGTTGAACATGTTCTAACTGAGCTGCGTGCCCGATTCTGGATAATCAAAGGAAGACGAACTGTGCGAAATACGATTGAAAAGTGTCCTGGCTGTCGTAGACGAATCACCGGAAAACCAACTACTCAAATGATGGCTCCGTTACCGATGTCAAGATTGCAATGCCCCCTTCGAGCCTTTGAACGCGTTGGTGTGGATTACGGCGGACCATGTTTGACCAAACAGGGAAGAGGCAAGACAAGAGCGAAACGTTACCTGTGTCTATTTACTTGACTTACTACACGGGCTGTACATTTGGAAATGGCGTATTCCCTGGATACAGATTCCTTTATAAACGCCTTTCCCAGGATGGTAGCAAGGAGGGGGAAGCCGACATACGTAGTTTCTGATAACGGTACCAACTTTGTTGGAGCGGAACGAGAACTGCGAGAGTTAGTAGAAGCATTTGATCTAGAAAAAATTACAAACAAGACAACACAAGATTATGCTATGGAGTGGAAGTTCAATCCACCATCGGCCCCACACTTCGGTGGTGTATTTGAGGCAATTATGATCAAGAGTGCTAAAAAAGCCATAAAAGGTATTCTTGGTAATGCGGACATTACCGACGAGGAACTTCATACTGCCATTTGCGATGCAGAACGTTTATTAAACTCACGACCAATCACCTTCATCAGTTCAGATCCTGATGATCTTTCCCCGTTGACCCCGAGTCATTTCCTTATCGGACAGTTGGGAAGAAACTTTATCCTATACCATCACAGGATGCTTACTTAAAGAATTTGATTGAAAAAGTGGAAAGCGTAACAAAACGTATGAGATGGAAAGCTAATTTCTTCCTAAAAGGATCAACGACTCAAAACCAAAGCAACCTTTTCGGCCTTTCGTCTAACAAATCGCCTCCTTCAATTCCACTTTTGAAACCTTTCGAAGACGACCTGATAAAACTAATTGAAAACGTAAAATTCCGGCGTCCTAAAGACCAATTTCAGACATCTTTGGCTAACGATTTGAAGAAAATTAATTCATCCCCCAACATTTTCATTTTCGCGGACAAAACTAGAAACATTTACGAAACGTCACTGAACACATACAACGAACTCTTACATGACAACATCACGAAAACGTACAAACATGGATCAGAGGACTTCATACATGAAATTGACTCCGAATTGAAAGAAATTTCGAGTAGGTTAGGAATTGGCGACAGAATTGAACGAATGAAAAAACGCGAAGCATTTATATCTTTAAAAGATCACAAAGAAAATTTCGAAAACAATCCAAAATGCCGACTAATTAATCCCGCAAAAAGCGAATCCGGAAAACTAAGTAAGGTTATTTTAGATAAAATCAATTCCAGTTTGAGACAAAAACTAAATTCAAATCAATGGAGAAATACGCAACAAGTAATTTCATGGTTTGGCAATATAAACGATAAAGACAGGCACAGTTTTATTTCATTTGATATTGTGGATTTTTACCCATCCATTTCCGAAAAACTTTTAAATGAAGCATTGGCCTGGGCTTCGGATTTGACTACTATTACCGAAAATGATATTTCAATAATAAAACATGCAAGAAAATCTCTACTTTTCGGCAACGGCAAATTATGGACAAAAAAAGACGGAAACAACAGTTTATTTGACGTCACTATGGGTAGTTTCGACGGCGCTGAAATTTGTGAGCTGGTAGGCCTTTTCATTTTAAATCGCTTAGGTAAGAGGTTTGGCAAGGAAAACATCGACCTTTATAGAGATGATGGTTTGGCTATTATAAAAAGCAAATCCGCCCGTTTACTAGACAAAACTAGAAAAGAGCTACACAAAATTTTCGAGCAATTTGACCTGAAAATCACCGCCGAAGTAAATATGAACGTTGTAAATTTTTTGGATGTTACTTTCGACCTGATCAACGAAAAACACAAACCATACAGGAAACCCAATGACGATCCATTGTACATCAACAGACACTCAAACCATCCACCAAGCATTACAAGACAATTACCTACAGCTATCAACAAACGCATTGCACTTCTCTCATCGGACGAACAAACATTTAAGGAATCTACACCTATTTACCAGAACGCTCTTAGACATAGTAACTTTGATCATGAATTTACGTACACTCAGGATGCACCGCAACGGACACGTAGGAATAGGCAACGCAACATAATTTGGTTCAACCCACCATTTAGTAAGAGTGTTAACACGAACATAGGACGGGAATTCTTAAGTTTAATTGACAAACACTTCCCACTACAGCACAAACTACACAAGATTTTTAACAGAAACACTTTAAAAGTAAGCTACAGTTGCATGAACAACGTTAAGTCTATAATCACCAAACACAACGCACATATAATTAGGAACAGTCAATCACAGAATACGGAAACTGACAACTGTAACTGCGACAACAAAAACACTTGCCCACTACCGAAACAATGTATGACCAACAACATTATTTACAAAGCAACAGTCACAACGAACAACACGAACGACACTAAACACTACATTGGTATGACAGCGACTACATTTAAGGAACGTTACGCTAACCACACTTCATCTTTTCGTCATAAAAAAGACTCAAACAAAACGGAACTTTCGAAACATATTTGGAAATTAAAAGAAAACAATCAGGATTATACCATCAAATGGTCAATTTTAAAACACGCTATTTCGTACACAGGGGGATCAAAACGCTGCAATTTATGTTTGGAAGAAAAATTTTGCATTTTGAAAGACATAAACAAAGACAATTTACTCAATAAAAGAAGCGAAATTTTCGGCAAAATGTCGTCACAAAAACCGGTTTCGAGTAAACAAGGTCGTTAACAAAACCTAATGACCCAAGCATGCATTGTTTCACCTAAGCATTGTTTCGCCTACACGCATTCCGCACATTCTTTCGATAGCATAAAAGCAACCTACAATTTCGAAATTATTCACCACCTGATGATTCCTATACGGATGAAACAGACTGTTGTGGTTTTTTGAGGTAAAACGAAAAACTATATTACGCTCTATCTATATGGTATTGAGCACTGTTTGTGTTTCGTAAACCAAAATCTTAAGCTATATTTGCACCCGGTAATCGGTTGTGCACTCTGTCTATCGTTATTTGTGACGATTGAGCATCTAATTAGCTATTCGCAACAGTTTATATTAACTCCATCATATGTATAAATAGCAAGTGGGCGTGATTAAAAGTTGTTGTTGTGCTTATGGCGTATGAATAGTATTAAACTTTACATGGTGTCAGGAAAATGGATACTTTACGACCCCCAAATTCGCTTTCGTTCGAAGGCAACGTCTCTGAGAATTGGCGTCGCTGGATACAACAATTTCGTCTGTATTTGAATGCTACTGGTCGCGATAGAAAACCGGAAAAAGTTCAGTGTTCAACCTTGTTGACAGTCGCTGGCGAAGACGCTGTTGAAATCTACAATACATTCACTTTCGCTAGTGGGGAAACAGATAAAATAGAGCCTTTAATATCCAAGTTTCAAGCGTATTGTATCCCGAAAAAGAACATAACTTTTGAACGTCATGTATTTAACACAAGGAATCAACGAAGCGACGAAAATGTGGAAAGTTACGTTACTGATCTACGGAAACTTGCCAAAACATGCGAGTTTGGCGAACTTCGTGACTCGCTTATTCGAGATCGCATCGTCTGTGGAATATACAGCGATGAAGTGAGAGCCAGGCTGCTTCGAGACCCGGAATTGACGCTTACTAAGGCCGTAGATACATGCCGAACATCCGAGCTAAGTAAAAGCCATCTTAAAAGTATTGTTGAGAGTCAAACGGCTCAATTCGTGAATGCAGTGGAAACCCCGCAATCGAGCCGTGATCAAGCCCAGCAAAATATAAATGCCAAGAGTGAATCGCGTAACAATAACAACAAACCTGATCGTCGAAGACCAAACCCGCCCAACTCACGGACTACAGAGGTAGAGGCCTCGGAATGCCCTAATTGTGGAATTAAACACGAGCCCCGAAAGTGTCCTGCTTATGGACAAGAGTGTCGAAAATGTCATAAACGCAATCATTACGCCAGAAAGTGTCGTATGTCACAGCGATCATCGCGAGTAAACACGCTTGAAGAGACCCCAGAAGTCGACAATGATTTGTTTATTGGAACGGTCAACACCGAATTGAAAGGAGACACAACTGACTGGAATATAACCCTTGACATCAACGAAACACAAGTGAAGTTGAAACTTGACACTGGTGCACAATGTAATGTCTTGCCTTTGTCGACCTACGAACAGCTCACCGCAGAAAAGTTGGGGAAATCGCGTACCAAGTTGATATCGTATTCTGGACATAGAATTTTAACAGTTGGAAAGAATACTGTGATAATTTCGCACAAAGAAAAATTTTACCCCACAGAATTTCAAGTGATCGATCAAGAAGGAGCTGTTCCGATCCTCGGTTTACCATCATGTCTTGAAATGGGGTTGGTGCAACGAATTTCTACAGTTCACCCAAGCAATGACACAGATCAACCAGATAATAATACAGCATCGTGTGGAGATAGTACACCACCGTCCGAGCCACAGTCAACAGCGGTAGAGCCTAAATGTAAACCACGCACTAACCAACCTGCAGAAGAAATGAAAACAGAGGCGGCAAAGATAATTGATGAGTACACGGACGTCTTCCAAGGTCTTGGTTGCCTCGATGGAGATTACCACATCAAAGTAGACCCCTCGGTTCCACCAGTTGTATATCCAGCACGCAAGATACCGTTTGCTATAAAAGACAAGTTTAAAGACGAACTGTGTCGAATGGAAAAATCGGAGCCATTACCAAAGTTACGGAGCCCTCAGAGTGGGTGAATTCAATTGTTGTTACAGAAAAGAAGAATGGAAATCTACGGATCTGCCTCGACCCAAGAGCTTTGAATAAAGCAGTACAACGAGAGCACTACCCCATGAAAACCGTGGAAGAAGTAGCAGCTGAATTGGAGGGAGCAACAGTCTTTAGTACCTTAGATGCCTCATCTGGATTTTGGCATATCAAACTGGATGAGGAGAGCTCCAAATTGACCACCTTTAATACACCATTTGGGCGGTATCGGTTTCTTCGCCTACCCTTTGGACTGAACTCTGCACCTGAGGTATTCCAGCGCCGAATGAGTCAAGCCTTTGACGATATTGATGGAACAAGTATTATTATGGATGATATCCTTATCTGGGGAAAGGAAGTCGCACAACATGACCACCGCTTGAGGCAAGTACTTCAGAGAGCTCGTGACATTAATTTGAAACTAAACCCAGAAAAGTCTAGCATACAAACAAATGAAGTCATTTACATAGGACACATATTTAGTAAAATAGGAGTCAAACCGGACCCAATGAAAGTCCAAGCTATCACAGAAATGCAAGCACCACAAGACAAGAAAGAACTTCTCCGATTCATGGGTATGGTAAACTACTTGGGTAAGTTCATTCCCAACTTGTCTAACATCACCCAACCGCTGCGAGAGTTACTGCAAAAAGAGACTGCTTGGCACTGGATTGATACCCATGAACGGGCTTTCAACGAAATAAAGAAAAGAATAACTCATGAGAAAATACTCAAGTATTACGAAGTTACCAAACCAGTGACCATATCAGGTGATTCATCTTCCTACGGTTTGGGTGCTTGTCTGATGCAAGATGGGCGCCCTATTTCGTATGCTTCGCGTTCACTAAACAAGTCCGAAAAGAACTATGCTCAGATAGAAAAAGAACTTTTGGCCATAGTTTTTGGATGCACCAAATTTCACCAGTATATTTATGGCAAACCAGTGACGATTGAGACTGACCATAAGCCCTTGGAGTACTTGTTCCGAAAACCACTTACCGCAGCGCCACCAAGACTACAGCGTATGATGCTAACACTGCAAAAATATGACTTGCATGTCGTATACAAGCCAGGAAAAAGCCTGTACATAGCCGATACTCTGAGCAGGGCTCCTGGAACACTTTCAGCGCCAGACGTAGATGACCTTTACCAAGTACACACCGTCCAACATTTACCAGTGTCACCCCAACGGTTAGAGCAGTTCCATGCCGAAACTACAGCTGACTCAGTTCTTCAGAAATTACAGTACACCGCGCATGTTGGTTGGCCAAGTGATAAGTCGGCTGTGGATCCTGAAATTCGCGAATATTGGCCCATTCGAGACGAAATAAGCACCCAGGACGGATTCCTGTTACGAGGAGAACGACTAATAGTGCCTACATCATTACGGCGAGAAATGTTGAGTATAATTCATGGTAATCATCTTGGTATTGAGAAGTGCAAGCAAAGGGCTCGTGATGTGCTCTACTGGCCAGGAATGAACGAACAAATCGAAAATCTTGTGAAACGATGTGAGACTTGTCAAACCTTCAGAAGCTGTCAACGAAAAGAACCAATGAAAGGACACACAATACCAGACCGCCCATGGCAGAAAGTGGCTTTAGACCTTTTCGAGCTCCAGAACGAAAACTACTTTGTGCTTACGGACTATTTCTCTAAATTCTTTGAGGTCACAAAACTTTCCAGCACAACAAGTGCGTCAATCATCAAGCATCTTAAACCACACTTTGCCAGATATGGAATCCCAGAGGAACTCATCAGTGACAACGGCCCTCAACTTAGCAGCGCAGAATTTGCTAACTTTGCCAAGACCTATCATTTCAAGCACACTACGTCCTCGCCATATTATCCACAATCTAATGGTTTAGCGGAACGAACCGTTCAAACAGCTAAGCATATCCTGCTGAAGGCAAAAAAGAATGGAAATGATCCCAACATCGCGTTTTTAGACTACCGTAACACACCAATTTCTGGTGTTGGTGAATCGCCGGTTCAGATGATGATGGGACGTAGAACTAGGACACTACTGCCTACCAGTGCAAAGTTATTACAACCAAAGTATAGCACCCACAACCTCAAATCTTCCCTAGAGAAGATACAGACAAAGCAAAAACACTATTATGATCATGGTACAAGACCCCTAGAGCCACTTAAGTCTGGAGAAGGAGTACGTCTAAGAGATACAATCACGGGGAACTGGATTCCCGCAACAGTAAAACGTATCGCGGATGAGCCAAGATCATACATCGTAGAGTCGAATGGGCAAGAATATCGAAGGAACAGAAGAGACCTGCTGAAACTACCAACAAAGGGAAGCAAAGACAATGATACTACGCAGCAGCGAGTTGAATCGAAACACTCAAGTCAGGAGTCTCATCCACGGGGATCAGTCACCACCAGGCTGGGTCGCACTATCAAGCCACCTGTTAAGCTGGGATTCTCATGAGATAAGTACACTTATGACAATTTTATTATTTGAGATGTTGACATTTTACTTATAGTTCACATTGTAGATTGAGTCGCTGTTAGTGAACTCTTTAGAAAACTGAAAGCATGCAGTATCTTGCTGCATAATTAACATGTTTATGAGACTTCATTTTGTCAAACTTAGAAAGGGAGATGTGATGATTGAGCATCTAATTAGCTATTCGCAACAGTTTATATTAACTCCATCATATGTATAAATAGCAAGTGGGCGTGATTAAAAGTTGTTGTTGTGCTTATGGCGTATGAATAGTATTAAACTTTACAATACGCATGTGTAATACAATGTTGAAAAGTTTCTGAAACGTTCTCTGATCGTAAATTTTTATCTAAAACACGAGCTTTGGACTGCCAGTCTGCGGTCTTCGACAGGTGAAGTGATATTAAATCATATAAACTATTCTGCGGATGTAACTACAAGAACAGTGGTTTACAATTACAATTACAACTATAATGACATGCAATAAACAATGAGTAGTTCCGCCAACGTAAACTCTAGTGAAACGAGTATACTTATAAATATAAAACTATGTCTATGATCTGCTCTTTTTTAAAAAAAATCTATACTGTTCTGGTAAATGTTGCGCATTGTTGTCAGAATTGACTGTGGTTGCTGTATGCCAGGACTCCAATGTTGCTCTGTGTCGATAGGTTGCCTTGTCTAAGATTTCGCGCTCATCAAAGTTGATTTTATGATCCTGAGTCCAAGCATGTTTTGCTACGTTTGAGCCGGATTTAGATTGTTTCACAATGTTCCACAATGTCACATTGTTTTGCTATGTTTGAGCCGGATTTAGATTGTTTTACATAAAAATCGTATTGATTTTTATTAAAAAAGAGCAGATCATAGACATAGTTTTATATTTATAAGTATACTCGTTTCACTAGAGTTTACGTAGGCGGAACTACTCATTGTTTATTGCATGTCATTATAGTTGTAATTGTAATTGTAAACCACGTACTGTCCTTGTAGTTACATCCGTAGAATAGTTTATGTGATTTAATATCACTTTACCTGTCGAAGACTGCAGACTGGCAGTCGAAAGCTCGTGTTTTAAATAAAAATTTACGATCAGAGAACGTTTCAGAAACTTTATTATGAATCCTGGTCGCGCATCTAGCATTTTTAACAATGTTGAAAGTTTAATTTTGTTGCTTTTAAATTTAGAATGTTTTGGTAGCTCTCGGAAATTCTCTAGTCAAATGCACCAAGCGTAAGTAAAAAGCAACTTTCCCCATATTTTCACGACCCACCTTTTTTCGACCCTCCACATCTTGTTTCGACCCTCGACATTTTCTTCGATCCTCGACTTTCTATTTTCGCCCTTCAGTCTATTACCCTCTACCCTCGAGCACATACATGTCCAATACTAACGCAAATGTCCAATGGACATATGAAATGTCCATTGGGCATATGACTGTCCATTGGATCCAATGGACAACTCAAATGTCCATTGGACATGTGCATGTCCAATGGACATATCGAATGGCCATTGGGTATTCGAGTGTCAATTGGATCCAATTATGGACTAAACCGGACTTTGTAACTACCGGGAAAGGGCATCTTGGATATACTGAATGAGTATAATGTCCATTGGTCCATTGGATCCAATGGACATTTGGAATGTCCAATGGACATATGAAATGTCCATTGGACATTTGACGACCAAGGAATGTTCATCAATTGAATATATATAGCTACTTCTCAATGCTTCCTTGTGTATTATATTATATTAAAACCGACTGTTATATTATGTTGCTTTGTTCCTAAGAAAGCACGCAATATATCAACATAATATGTTGTTGCTTCTTTCTTAAGGAACGACGCAATATATCAATATATTATGTTGCTTTGTTCCCAAGAAACCACGCCATATATCAATTTAATATGTTGTTGCCTCGTTCTTAAGAAACGACGCAATATATCAATATATATTATGTTGCTTTGTTCCAAAGAAAGCACGCAATATATCAACATAATATATTATTGCTTCTTTCTTAAGGAACGACGCAATATACCAATATATTATGTTGCTTTGTTCCTCAAGAAAGCACGCAATATATCAATATAATATGTTGTTGCTTCGTTCTTAAGGAACGACGCAATATATTAATATATTATGTTGCGCAGGTCATATATCAATTTAATATGTTGTTGCCTCGTTCTTAAGGAACGACGCAATATATCAATATATAGCCTATTATGTTGCTTTGTTCCTAGGAAAGCATGCAATATATCAACATAATATGTTATTGCTTCTTTCTTATAAGGAACGACGCAATATATCAATATATTATGTTGCTTTGTTCCTAAGAAAGCACGCAATATATCAACATAATATGTTGTTGCCTCGTTCTTAAGGAACGAAGCAATATATCAATATATTATGTTGCTTTGTTTCTAACAAACCACGCCATATATCAATTTAATATGTTGTTGCCTCGTTCTTAAGGAACGACGCAATATATCAATATATATTATGTTGCTTTGTTCCTAAGAAAGCACGCAATATATCGACATAATATATTATTGCTTCTTTCTTAAGGAACGACGCAACTTACCAATATATTATGTTGCTTTGTTCCTAAGAAAGCACGCAATATATCAATATAATATGTTGTTGCTTCGTTCTTAAGGAACGACGCAATATATCAATATATTATGTTGCTTTGTTCCTCATACACGCAATATATCAATATATTATGTTGCGCAGGCCATATATCAATTTAATAGGCTATGTTGTTGCCTCGTTCTTAAGGAACGACGCAATATATCAATATATTATGTTGCTTTGTTCCTAAGAAAGCACGCAATATATCAACATAATATAGGCTATTATTGCTTCTTTCTTAAGGAACGACGCAATATATCAATATATTATGTTGCTTTGTTCCTAAGAAAGCACGCAATATATCAACATAATATGTTGCTGCTTCGTTCTTAAGGAACAACGCAATATATCAATATATTATGTTGCTTTGTTCCTCATACACGCAATATATCAATATATTATGTTGCGCAGGCCATATATCAATTTAATATGTTGTTGCTTCGTTCTTAAGGAACGACGCAATATATCAATATATTATGTTGCTTTGTTCCTAACCAACCACGCCATATATCAATTTAATATGTTGTTGCCTCGTCCTTAAGGAACGACGCAATATATCAATAGTATGTTGCTTTGTTCCTAAGAAAGCACGCAATATATCAATATAATATGTTGTTGCTTCGTTCTTAAGGAACGACGCAATATATCAATATATTATGTTGCTTTGTTCCTAAGAAAGTACGCAATATATCAATATAATATGTTGTTGCTTCGTTCTTAAGGAACGACGCATTTAATATATCAATATATTATGTTGCTTTGTTCCTCATACACGCAATATATCAATATATTATGTTGCGTAGGCCATATATCTATTTAATATGTTGTTGCTTCGTTCTTATAAGGAACGACGCAATATATCAATATATTATGTTGCTTTGTTCCTAAGAAAGCACGCAATATATCAACATAATATGTTGTTGCTTCATTCTTAAGGAACGACGCAATATATCAATATATTATGTTGCTTTGTTCCTAACAAACCACGCCATATATCAATATAATATGTTGTTGCCTCGTTCTTAAGGAACGACGCAATATATCAATACATTATGTTGCTTTGTTCCTAAGAAACCACGCCATATATCAATATAATATGTTGTTGCTTCGTTCTTAACAACCACGCAATAGGCTATATCAATATATTATATTCCCTTGCGGTCACCTCATGAATGACTTCAGTACACAGTTTATTAGTTGATGTTTTGCAGGTACACTCGATCAGTAATCACCAATCAGGTATAGGCTAGTTTCAACTCAGGAAAATTATCCGTGGATTTGAACGCACAAGAAAATTTTTCTTTGTGTTGTGAGGTCTGGGTTATAGATCGAACTAATGACTTCAACACAAAGAGAAATTTTCTTGCACGTTCCAAGCCATGCATATAATTTTCCTGAGTGGAAAGTACCTTCAATTAACTCGATAAGTAATCACACCTGAACAAACACGCAAAATAAAGCGATTTCAACGGTTATTTTTTAGCCCGGGCTGAAATTAATTGCGATTACTGTACATGCTGCCTGGCTGAAACTCAGGCCGGGCTGAAATTTCAGCTCAGACCCGGCTGAAAATTCAGCCCGGGATTGGAATTTTGGTCATGTAATCCCTTGCTCCGTTTTAATAGGATTTTATCCTTACGACTAAATCCGCTAGCGAATATGGACCGGGGAGTCTATATCCTCTAGCGAATATGGACCTATGGGGGTCTTTATTCGCTAGCCGATTTGGACTCTCCTCGCGAATTTTGACCCCTCGCGTATATTTGTAATTGCAACGTATCGTATTTTGAATATTGTACTAAAACCGTTTTAAATGTCATAAATCTCATCTGATTTATTTTAATAACCGTACGAAGATTTTTAGACGATCAAATCTTAGATTTTTAGATTGGACAATTCCGTCAAAGTTTATGACTTATAATTTTTTGGTACATGTACTTTATTTCTATGATCTTGGAATGTGCGAGAACTGAGAAGCGCATGAAGCCTTCACAAGTTTTTACTCCTTGGAATTGCTATCTGCTCTGACTCTTAAGGCTACCTTCCACTCAGGATAATTATCCGTGGATTGGAACGGACAAGTGTTTGTGTTAAAGTCATTAGTTCCAACCCAGAGCTCACAAGACAAAGAAAAATTTTCTTGTCCGTTCCAATCCATGCATAATTTTCCTGAGTGGAAACTAGTCTTTAAATGCTCAAATAAAAACGGATATGATAAGATATACCAAATCCACTGTGACACCGGGAAACCTGGATAAAACACAGCCCGGAAAACTCGATCAAAACAAAAACTCAAAACTCGATCTCAAATCAAAACAAATCGGAACAAAATCAAATGAAATCGAGTCAAAACTCGATCTCCATGTAATCATGAGCCCCTTTCAAAATCACATTGTCCACTATATATATTAAAACTTATGGAAATTAAGCGTTACACGTTTACGCTTATGTCATATTTGTTTCTTTCTACATTTCGTGCAAAAAAAGATCATCTGCATGCATAACGTCAATTTTCCACTTCGCGTTTTCGGCGTAAAAATGTTCTTTGCATAATTTTTTTCCTATTCCTATTCGAGGGATTACCGTGCCCCAACAGTCACTGAAAATCATTAACTTATGCTAGAAATTTCATCGACGTAAGTAAAGAAGAACCAAACACACTCACGAAGACAAAATCGTTCGCCAAATTTTCGTCCACGGCTTGCGAAAACGTTAACACTGTAAGTTGAAACTCGACTTTACTATATAGGCACACACTTTAAGCATCACGGTAACAACACGTTTGAACTATGTTCACGATCTTCGGTAGTACTCACATACATTGTATCTCATAAGAAAAAATATATATACGCACATGAGAGAAAAATAAAGGTCCACCCGTATTCTAAAAGCTCACTCACACTTAATGAGTGGAGATTCAATCTCAGCTTCTCTTGACTGTCAATGCTGTTTTTCAATAGCTATAGAGGATTGGTGTCGTACTATGTGGAGAACATACGAATATATGTAATTATGTGCGTATAATGTTGCTACTTAATTTCAAGTTTAAATCTCATTTGCGTGGCGTGGTTATCCCCCGTCCAACGTTTTTAGTTCAGGATAAACTTTAACTCGAGTTCGACCAGAAAATTTTTTTACCCTTTTTTAATATCTGGAAAAAAAGTTTTAACCCGCCTTTCCCAATCTTTTTTGGGGGAAAAGGGCCCCCGAAACAAAAATTTGCCCCGGGCCTCCGAATTTCTCTGATAGGTAATCACCATTTTATATGGAAATAATTATAAGTGGATGGCATTACGATTTCATAGTAGCAATGTGATGACTCCCGGTGTCAGTGACGGAGTCGGAGTAATTATTCAAGACAATAAATATTATTATAAAACCTTTAACCACTGCTGCGAACATTGATTTTTATAGCTTCGGCCTTCGCATAGCCTGCTCGCCTTCCGAGGGGCCCGCCGCGGCGTTCGAAAGCGTAAGAGATTTTGAAATTAGGTGGTCTCACAAACTATTAATCAAATATGATCTTTTGAAGCCCAAGGTTGTGACTATTCCAACAAAAGTAGCTATATCGGCCTTTACGCGTCGCCAAAACAAACACATCCGCTACACGGAACAGGTGACGATGGATGTGCCAAATCCCATATCAAATGGCATGCATGCTTTAAAACAATTCATGTCAACCGGATGGCAATCGAATGCGGGCAATGCCAAAAAATGGCAATTTTAATTCAGTTATAATTTGTAATTATTAAACATAATTATCTATAGTTAAATTAATTAAACAGTAAGCACACAAATAAATGTGAAACAGAGTTTCATATCTTATAAGTTACAAAATTAATTTACCTACTGTATAATAATTTTAACATTCAGCACTAAAATTAACTCTGAACAGCATGCGTCTTAATTATGCGGGTTATGAGTTACACTCATAAGGGCATTCTTCGCTACACTTTTCATAATCGCGATTAACGTAACTGGCAACCGACGCGTTTAAAAGTATTTCGCTTCTCAGACGATTCCTTACTAAAGAAACACCAGTCCTGAAATAGTTTTAAATAAACGCGTATGTTTATAGTCGCACAGAGAATTGTCAGAACAAACCCACTGATTATTGGATATTCAATATCTTATATTTCACTAAAAAATAAGTGAATGTTTAATCAATGTTTGTAAATCGGATAAAGACTCAGTCCTAATTTACATAAACTTTACCTTAATTTGATTCTTGCGCCTTAGACAATGTCTATTTTTAAAATTACTTCGTCAATTAACTCATAAGATAAGATGGGTCGTTATTTAAGCACTTGTATAATCTTTATTCATAGTCAAAATACCAATACAGGCACATATGAAATTACATACAATAAAAGATACAAAGCGTATCTATATGTGATAGTTGTTATAAGATATAAGATTATAAAAAGTGCATTAACATTTTTTATATCATGAATGAAGATATGCATGATTACATAAAGCACTGATTATCATATAATAGAAGAATATCATGAAAATATTTTGCTACTATTTTCATGATAGATTTATCATGTATATTAAAAATATAAAAGAATAAATTATTTGTACCAAATAGGCGGAAAGAACTATTGATACCATATAACTCGTTTAAAAAAATATTTCGAGTTTCTGAAATTTTTTGGTTGGAGCATGATAATAAGTAGTGAAATTCATCTCCAATTTCACTCGATTGACATAAGGTACAAAACCGATCTTCGTATGGTGTTTTGGTATATCTTCCAGATTCAACCGGTAGTTTGTGCGCAGATATTCTCATTTTTGTTATTGCTTGGCGATGCTTAACATTGCATATTTCATGAAGGTATTCTTCAAATACAAAAATATTCTTAACTTGTACTAGAGTTCTTAATTTACCACTGTGACGACTTTGTTCAATCTGATCTTTCCAAAAACGAGTAAAATAAGTAGATAATCTATTTTTTAGATATGTACCTACATTATGTAAACTTTCAAGTGGGAGAGAAATACCGTTTAGTGAACCCAGATCACATAGTTTTAATATATGGGTTGTAAAATTAACTGCCTGAGTATTCGCTCGAATATTAAAACTCGCTGCCTCTCCTACAAGAGTATTCATATAATTCGGATCTTTAATTCGTATCCAATACTTTGTCACTAGAGTAGAGATCTGTACTATTAGAGGGACTCTACCTAGTTCACCGTATACTGCTAGATTTGTACTTTTCGAGTGAACTCCGAGTATACGTTTAAAAAATTTCAACTGAAGTGATTCCATTTTATTCACCACACTGAAAAATCTCTTTTGGAAAAGTTCAAACGAAGAAATTTTACCCAGTAAACATAAACCCCAGATTTCACAACCATATAATAAAACTGGAACCACTACCGAATAGAATACGTAGTTTCAGTAATGTTTTAATCGGTATATTCTCTACATTTGAAAGTTTCTGCATTAGGCAATTGTAAGCTCGTAATGCCTTGTTGTATAACATTGTTGTCGCTATCTTAAAGTTACCACCACAATGAAAAGTTAATCCCAAATACGTATATTCGTTCACACAATCCAGTGGATTGTCCCCGAAGAACCACTTGGTGGAGATAAATTGTCGTCTTTGATACTGTGTCCCGAAAATCAGAATTTTTGTTTTTTTTAGATTAACTTGTAATTTCCATTTCTTAGTATATAGTTCAAGTTTTTGAAGGCAGCATTGTAACCCAGATTCCGATTCTGACATTATCACCAAGTCGTCGGCATACAGCAAACAACTCAACTCAGTGTCTCCGAACTTCACAGGTTCACAAGTAGTATTAAATAAATTAGGTATATCGTTGATGAAGAGGTTGAACAATGTTGGACTTAGGTTACATCCTTGTTTTACTCCAACATGAGATTGAAAGAATGGTGTGACACCTTGTTCAAGCTTAACCGCTGATTTAACAGAGGAATACATGTTCAGTAAAATTGTGACAAATTTTCTGCTACATCCGTAGTTTATCAGTTTAAAAAATAAACCTTCTCGCCAGACACTATCGTATGCTTTCCTGAAATCAACAAAACATGCAAACATAGGTTTCCGCCTTAACTTATAAGAGT